TCTAAAATATACCATATAAGAGTAACTCACATAGAGCAGTTATTATACTAAATAAATAAAATGTATAAATAGAAACATTTTGCACTCTTGATAAAAACATTTTTTCCTGTCAATAAGATTTATCCATAACTCCTGCCTTCATTTTATCATCACATAGTTTGAATTCTCTTTGAAATGTTCTCTAAGAAACCTTTTTCTATCCAATTATTAATAGAGAAAAATAATCGACAGATTAACGGATTAGAGAAATAATCGTTAATTTCAGACCTATTCATAATACCTGCTTGCTGCCAACACTGGAAAAAATCCAAATCTAGATTTTTCTAAAAATAAGATTGAGGAAGTAAAAGGGACATTTTGCCAATGGAACAAGCCGATCGACATTTAAAAGAAGAAAACACAACTGCATTGCCTTATTTCAAGTGCATATTATCTATTTATCTTATTTTAAGAATAAAAATACTAATTCTATTCCAGTGTAATTACCCTACTCAATTTAAGGATAAATACACTTGATTTAAGAAGTTTGGACTTATTTCTAGATTGTTTTTCCAGTGAAAGGACTACATGGTCCCTTTTTCTCCAGAAGAACCTCCTCCTTCTCTCTCCACATCACCTCCTGTTCTCTGTTCTGGGTTGTTCCTAAACTTTGAGTGTTTGTGGTTCTACCCACTTGTAAAATTACACATGGCTGCTGTTTGAGGAGCTGAGAAATTTCCACACTCGACAACAACGCCACAGATTTACGGAGCAAACGTGCAGCAACACTACTCTGTTCTATATTTCAAACATGAAGGCAGCAGGTGGAAGAAGCAGCAGCTCCTGCTTATCATGAAACTTTCCGTGTTCATGTTTATGATATTTATTTCTGTGAGGATTGGATTCAGTGTGAACATCAGATCTAGATTCTGATGCGGGTTCTTTTACTGCTGGAGAAATGGGGGCGGGGCTACACTGAAAGGCAGCAGGGTGAACATCCTTTCATACATACCCACAAAGTCCTAAAACACAGAAATCAATCTGAATCCTAAATCAACAAATACATTTTAAACATTTGGGAGGTTTTTTGCATACTTAATACAATGTATTTATGTCATTTTTTTTTTTTTTGTGTGTTTAGGAGAAAATAGCAGAATTCCCTTCTCATGATCTTTACAATCGGATTTATCAAATAAAAAAATAAGATAATAAAAGCTGAGATTGAAGAGGAGGAAAAAAAGAACTCCAAGACTTGGAAATGAAGGAAGGAAAAAGAAGAAGCAAAGAAACATTGATAGTAAAGACAAATGAGGCAGGAAAGAGGCAGGTGAAGTGTACGGTAGGAAAGATTGGATTATTGAAAGAATGGAGAGAAAAAGAAACGTTGACTGGTTGTAAAAACAGGCGGAAAGAGCGCAAAAAGAAAAGAGGGCGGGGAGGATAAACAGCGAGAAGGAAGAAAGGGAATAAAAAAGGTGGAGCAGGACGAAATCTGACGAGGGAGGATAAAAAAAAAAAAATCAGAGCCAGAAGAAATGAGCAGACTACGGAGGAATGAAAGGAGGATAAAAAGGAGAAGATTGAGTACAAGATTAAGACGATATGAAATAAGAGGAAAGGAGAACATTAAAAAGGAGCACAAAACAAAAAGATGGAGGATGAGAAAATGTTTGGACAATAAACCAGGATAAAGTAGAAGAACAAAAACAGAAAGAAGGTGAAGTTTAAGAGGAAGAACAGAAAAGCAGAGTAGAAGGAGAATATCTATGGGATTAAGAACTCAGGAAATGAGGAACAAAAATTAAAATATAGGAAGAGCGAGATGAACGAAGCATGAAAAGATGACAAATAAAGACGGCAAGAGGGGGTAACCAACATCAGGCAGGAGAGAGAAAGGTGAGTAAAAACCTGAGGAAGGGAGCAGAGGAGGGGCGTGCAGAGTAAAGAAGGTGGGAGGGATGGACAGATGGAGGAGTGGGACCCCAGAGACGTGTCATTCATCACACCAGCCTGCAATCTGCACTCCTTCACCCTCCTTCTCTTCCCCTGCTTCCTCTCATCCATCCATCCGTTTGTTTCTTCATTCCTTCTGTTACTGTCACAGTTCTGCTGTCTTCTTTCCTTTCCTCCATCTTTGGCTCTGGACTTTGGCAGTCATTTTTAGGTTTCATTATCTCCTCCGGCGACATCCCTCCATCCTTCTCTCCATTCACCCCACCAGTCTCTCCCCGATCTTGGCTCCCACTTATTTCCCTTTCTGCGTCACTGAGACTCAAACGACAGAAAGGGGATCTTTCTTGATAGAGATGAGAAACATGTGACTAAAGGAACGAACACAAGAAAAATGAACAAATACTGAAAGTAGGAATGAAGATGGAAAAAAAAGAGAAAAAAAAAGAGAAAACCATGAAGAACAGATGAGCTAGAGAGGTGACAGAAACAGAAGGGAAGTAAAATATGAATGAAGACAAAACAGGGAAATAAACGACAGCAGGTGAGACTATGTGGGAAATAAGCGGAGTGAAAAAAAGACGCGTTTTTGAAAGTTAGAATAACTTGCAGCTGTAAATCAAACTTATTAGATTCACAAAGAACAGCTTCTGACTTTTTCCGCCTCCTGCACCTTTACCTTCTATATGTGGGCTGAGTCATAAACCTTCAGGGGAAAATAACTGATAAACTAATAAATAAATGAAACATAGTATTTACAACTTTCTGAATTTAAAATAATTTATTATATTTATATCTCCAAGCTGCACACTGGAGCAGTTTGTAGGAAGGTTCTGGGTTTGATTCTGGGATGGAGTTTGCATGTTCTCCCCATGCATCTGTAAGTTCTCTCTGGGTAATCATTCACAAAACATGACTATGAGGTTAATTTGCTTCTCTAAATTGTCCTATGAGTGTACGAGTGCATGACTGTGTGTCTCTGTGTTGCCCTGCAACGGACTGGCGACCTGTCCAGAGTGTACCCTGTCTGTAACCTGTGAACTGCCAGAGACAGGCACCGCCCCTATGTGACCATGATAAAATAAGCATGGATGGACGGACGGTCGGTCGGTCGGATGGATGGACGGACAGACGGACGAACGGACGGTTGATCGGATGGTTGGATGGATGAACGGACGGACAGTCAGATGGTTGGTTGGATGGATGGATGGATCTTATTATGTCTTATGCTCCCCTCCACAAACACACACACTATGTTGAAAAATAACTCACATCAGCACCAAACTGGTCCAAGGCAGCTGGCAGAAACTGAGGACATCTCGATTCTTAAGTATTACTGATTTCATTCAAAGAAGAGGAAACACTCTTGTTTGTTTAGATGATAAACAACAACTCACATGAAGTGTGTTCTTCATATGACAAGGCCATTTTCAAGCAAGTCTTTACTATAGATTGGTTGTAGCTGCAGGTGCACTGGCTTGCTGCCATTGTATAGCAAGCTCTGCACTGGTGGCCACAATATTTTGTAACCGAAGCCACAGGAAAAGGTCCCAACTCTTGATGAATTATCTCAGCTTCCCCAAAGCTCTTTTGCTGAAATGTATCCTTAGCCACGAAGTTGTAAAAATTTCTGTGCAGGATTGAGGTGTGTTACCACAGACGCATTTTGTTGTTTATGCTGCATATCCAAAAGGTTTTAGGAGAGCTTTAACAATCATTTTTCAAATCTGTTCCCAGCTTGGAAAAATCTGATAACCACGGTTACATGTTTAACAAACAATGAGGCTCTTTACCGCCATGTTGCTGTGTTTACCTTGGAGAAGCTGTCTGCCCATTGCTCCATGTTTTTTGTTAGCAGGTTGGGTTGATTCTGAGGCGGGTACATATAAGTACTACAGCGTCTTTACTAGCTGTGGAAGCAACTTTTTTTAAACCACCAATGAGAATTTACCATGTTTGTCTTCTTGTTGATCAGTCTTGAGTGTAAATTAGCATAAAAAACATATATCAATGCTTCTTAACATTTATCCATGATATAATGCTTAACGGGTAAAGATCATGTCTGCTCACTGCTTTTATATAACCACATTTCAATTTCAGACACACAGTATAAGATGCCAAAAAACATGATCAAAATGAGATATGGGGGAATGTTTTACATTAACCTCAACATAGGGCTGAGCAACATGGCTAAATAACAAAATCTCCAAATCCTTTTTACAGTTAAATGCTATTTTTTTTCTCCCTTTCTTCCTGTTAAAAGGGAGTTTTTCCTCTCAACTGTCGCTACAAGCATGTTTGGTGTGAGGGATTGACTTCGAGTCAATGATTCGATGCAATCAACTGGTTTACATTAGATAGAAAACTTTGAATGTGTTGTTAATTGGCACTTTATAAATAAACAGAATTAAACTGACTTAAGTTTAATAAAAAGCAATTTCTATTTTTCTTTTAAATGTAAATCTTAAATAAAAATATGCTTTTCTGTTAATCAGCCTTTCCCAGAATGGAAATGAATCCAAAGTAAAACTAAATACAAGCTGTTAAAACATGCTTGTAAAACAAGATGGCAGCCCCTGCCACTTTATACTATAAAAATATATACTAAAGAACACACTAAATGTTCGCAGCTCGCTGTATTATAACGCTGAGCTTATTCATTAGTTATGAGAGGTCATATAAAAATAAAAAAAGATGCAGGGTGATCTCACTCTGAACTACAGGAAACCAAAGGAGGTCATTGATAAAAAATAAAATCCTTATAAAGAACAGATTTGATCAATCCATAAAACTAATTTATTTCCCAGCCCTGCTTCAACCTTTGTTACCAAAGGAATATGTTTGCATGTTAACTTAAGCTGTACTGTTAAACACTGAAGTTTGCTTAGGGAAAAATGGTAGTTTGGATTTAAAATTAAAGACTTATATCATTAATGTAAAATATGAGCTTAACTAACGGGTAAGGACAACTTAAATTGACTCTCTTTATCAATTGTCAACAAGCTCACTAGCTTTAAGAGGGGCTAAGAAAGATGGCGAGCAGGAAATGAGAACATTGACTCATCTCTCACCAGTGTGGGACAGCAGGTTGGGGGACAACAAGCCGGGGAGCCCCGGGTGCAACAGCCGGGGGCTTTCCTGCATCCCTGCACCAGAGCATCGTTTGGGAGGACGGCCGGGACGGGAGCTGAAGGGAGAGAGAGACGGATTAATTACCATGACAGCAAATAAGAGCAAAGAATTACAGATAGGATTCGGTTGGATACTGATCTAAACCCATTAAAGAAATCACAGCTGAAAGGATGAAGGTTAGTGTAGGTTTTTGAATTAGGAATGAGTTATAATTATAAATTTGCTCCGTTTAAATGATCAAACTTTCATAAGACTTATATTATTGTAATGGATGTCCTCATCCAAACCACAGTGTTTTTGGGAAACCAGCACAGAAAGTTACTAGGATGTTTCTTATTTGATAAACATTAAATAAAATTTGGATTCACTGCTTTAATCATGCCACAAAGTTCTTAAATAGTTCCTTTAAAATGATAATTTCTAGTTTTTCTTCTATTTTACAGATTGTTTCCAAATGTGTGGACATCTTGTCTCCGAGACAAAAGGCTCTGATCTGAATGTCACCAGTAAATGATAACAGCTGGATTCTCCAGCAGACACCGCAGGCCACACGGACATAATCAAATCACAGACTGTTGGTGAACAGCAGCTTCTAGGTAGTTTTTGCTGAAGCTTGCATGATTTGTCACATAAAAGCCCACCAGAAGACATTTAGGGAGTTAGTTGACAAAATTGCTGTCCTAAGTTTAACAGAGAGCACATTCCCTAAAGGTGCTAATGGCACTAGAGGGAGACCATGGGCTACAATGTTTGTCATCTAAATTCTCAACTATTCAACATGGAGGAAATAAAAAACATGATGTGAGAGGTTTTCATTTTCTAAGCTAAAATAGCAAAGTCTCCATTTAACAAAGTTTGAAAAATGAACTCAATTAAGATTTTTTTTCTATTTCATTTGTAAATTGCATGCAACATAAATAACAGCTCAGCTATCTGACCATTCATTTTATGATATTAATACTGTTATCTGCTATTAAGTTTTATGACAAACTGAAGAGCTGATCTGCAAAATGGATAACATCCATTGAAGACAGTTTAATGGCTGCAAAGCTGGTGCAAAACAGGAAACTATGACATAAAAAATGTTAAATACCTTAATTATTTGCTAAATATATTTAGATCCCAACTTTAAAAGAGTACATAAGAATTAAATATGTAAGCGTGCTCACAGATTCAGCAATTCATGTTCTACATGTACAAATGAGGCTGAATAAACATTAACACCATCTTTCATCCAACATCCCAGCCTCTCTCACACACACACAATAGCCCACTCTATTATGCATGTGCACGTAGGCATAAATAACCACAGTCAAACACTGTATTACAGTAACTGCACACATACAATTTAACATAAAGGGAGGTGCGCGCATACACACACAGGAGGTGCGCATGCAGGCCAACTCTCGGCAGGGTGGCTAAGTAACAGATGGCCATCCAAAGTCATTTACACCTAGAGAGAGAGAGAAAAAAATAAAACCTGTATATGGCAAAAACCCACAGTGTCACTGCATGAGAAAAGAAATAAGGAGAGGAAGTAATGGACGTGCTGCAAGTTAGATTGGGGCATAAAATAATAATGGCACTTAAACCTTGAGAGGACTTCTGTTGAACTGATTTCCAGCTCTTTTTGAACCATTACCTCTGCTAGTGGTTGTCTCTGGTTACATATCCAAAATGATCAAAATCACTTTACTTTTACCTTATAATTATATATTATATACGTGGCAGACAGTCATATTATGCATTTGATACTCCATATTTCAGCAGCTGGATGGAGTGCTCCTCTCACTTCAAGTGAGGTGTAAAAACTAAGAGACTTATGGAGACAACGTGGAATGTAAAAAAAATTGAATTGGGGGTGATTGCTATTCTTAGAAAAAAATATCAAAACGAAATGTTATCCTGATGATGTGCTTCCCTACTCTGAAATAGATCCTTTTTGCCTGTTTCTGTAAATCCCATAGATTTTACTTCCAACTCAGACCTTATCAGTAGAGATAGACCAATATATTGGCAGGCCAATATTTTTTGCTGATTTTATTCTGTTTCTTTCTTGTGTTGGTATTAGCCTATTCAATACGGTATACTGTATGTGTCAAAGTCAACGCCCATGGGCTTGATCCGGTCCCCAGAGACAATTTAAATGGTAAATGGCCTGTACTTATATAGCGCTTATTCACATCAGGAGACTTGGCCAAAGCGCTTTACACTACATTCAGTCATTCACCCATTCACTCACACACTCATGATGGCAAACTACATTGTAGCCACAGCTGCCCTGGGGCTCACTGACGGAAGCGAGGCTGCCGTGCACTGGCACCACCGGGCCCTCTGACCACCATCAGTAGACAATGCAGGTGAAGTGTCTTGCACAAGAACACAACGGCACTGAAAGCCGGAGCTGGGGCTGGAACCATCAACCCTTCTATTTTAGGGCAAATTCCTACATCCGACACCACTGTCGCCCCAATTTATCTGGCCCTCAAGAGCCAAAATAGACATGTAATTGCATAAAATAGAAGTATATATTATTTCAGTTAGCACAACCTGGCTGCAACTGCTAAATAAATGAAAGTAAAACTGCAATACCACAGCAGTGACATAAAATTATAAGTTGAGATGCCTCGAGACCAATTAAAGCCCATCATTGCCGCTTCCACCATCTGATAGTCTCTGTTAATATTTGTTAATATTTGGTTTAATTTGTTACTCTTTTTTTTATTAACTTGTGTAACATTTGTTACCATTGTGTCATTTTTGTCATGTAAATGGAGGAAGGAAAAGTAATACTGGCTCCAAGTACCTGCCCAAACATATCAACATCACGTTTTTTTATGTCAAAATAACCGATATCTGCACTTGCCTTAAAAAACCTGTACAGGCTGATTGATACTTATTAGTTTAGTGGTGTTTCTCTCCAAAATCAAGCCACTAAAGGAACATCTGGTACAATAAACTCAAATTTTCCTTCTAGTTAGGACCCTTACTTCACCGGTCCATCAGTTGCAGCAGATGGCCGCACACAACGAGTAATTTTCTGCTGAAAGATTGTTCCTGTTAAAACAGTCTTTCTACTCCACTGTCACCACATGCTTGCATAGTATGAGGGATTGCTGCAAACTCAGAAACATGGATTTACTTGCTTTTATTGGTTTTCTGTACAGCTCTTTGACATTGTTGTATATTTTGTTGTGAAAGATGCTTAAGAAATATACTTTACTTACCTCATAAGAAAAATGTAATTAATTGTTGATCTTTCTGAATGATTTGACTGAATTAACTGTATATTCCTGTAGAATAAAAGGTTGAGTTTGTTTTGTAAGACGCCTCAAAAGGTATTAATTTTTTTAGCAGTGTAACATCTATAAACTTCACAGTAATAAAATTAGATGGTAAATCTACGGATGTCGGACTTGGTTTAGCAGCAATACCTCAGGAGGTTGAGGCTAGATAGTAAGGCACCAGTACAGAGCAGAGAGGATGTTAGTCTTTTGAGGAACATGTTGAGTAGATCGGTCAGATCCCACTGGGAGTCGCAGAGTGTGTGTGTGTGTGTGTGTCTGCGCTAAAAGTTGTGAAGAGAAAACGACTGCAAATGTTTTTGGGTGTGATCTGTATGTGTCAAAAAAAGAAAGGAAGGATCCAGATGAGCATGAAGAAATGAAGGCATGAACCTTCACTTTTACGATGAACTCTACTTCACCTCCCTCTCCCTCCATCACACACACAAACACGCACAAAATCGCTTTACAATAAACAGGCTGTTCACAGAGGGTCGTGGACACTAACACACACACTCACAGGTGTTTGCGTTCAAACTTACAGCCCCTCTGTCAGCAGTCCGCTGCTACCTTCATGCTGCCGACGACAAACAACAGATACATGTTACAGTAGCTGTACAGGTGTGTTCAACTGCATCCATCCATGTGTAAGCAACTCTAAGGTGTGTATCCACGTGAATCCAAGCCTTGTGCGTCTGCAAGGGACACATGATATCGGCTTCTCATTAGCCTTACAGTTCTTTGTTCAGAGTAATGACTGCAGTGTCTGTGTGTGCGTGTGTCCCGTAGGGTTGCCATATGTTGGGCATTAATCCTCGTCAACGGTCCACTCTCCTTACAGCACCGAGCTCAGGAACAAAGAACAGGTCATTCATACACACACATGCTACACACAGAGAATGTAAAAAGTGTGTCCACACACTACACATACGGTCAATCGACCTACATTCATTTAGTAACCCTTTACCTTGATCAGGATCAGACTTTTCAAGAGGAACAAATCCATTTCTCCTACGCCGGATCCCCTTTCGTTCTAGAAATTCTCCATGAGATTAAAAAACGGAAAAGGTACACCACTGACTGAACTCTGACCTTTCCACTTTCTAACATTCCCACAGTAAGTTTCAGGAGCATATATTTGTGTTTTTAAATGTTCTTGCTGGCAAAGGATAAGCAAGAACATGCCAGAGGAAGGTACCAAGGTCAATACAGAAATTAGGACAGATAAGAGATTCAACTATTTATTGTGATTGTAAGAACTGACTACAGCTGCTTCCTTCTTAGTATCAACTCTCTGCTGAATCAGAGAAAACAAACCCAACAACTAGTTCAAATCTAGCAAACACAATGCAAAGAATATCAAAACTAGTTTCATTTTACATGGCTGGAAGCATTGGTGACACAGTGTAGAATCAGAGATCGAAGTATAGGGGCCTCAGTCCTCAACATGGCCATCCGATAATAGAATTATGGCTGATTGACCCTTTATCTTCCCTCCATCTCCCCCTAAAACCTATTTTCTGCCACTATACTATTAAATAAAGGCCACTAATGCCAAACAAATCTTAAAAAGACGAGCCAGAATCAATAGATACTCCAAGGTGCTGAACTGATTTCAGAAGAACACAGCAAAAGTCTGGTTGTTGTTGATTAAAGCCTGTTTTGTGGTTGCCATGACATAGATGACTGAGAATCTGCAGTGGCAAATCATAAAGGTGAGTATTTGTTAAAAAAAAAGTCATATATAAGGCTTTCAAAAATCTTTACCTAT